TTGAAGCAGAGTTCCCAGTTTATTTCAGTATGAATCATGCATAATTTGAAATTTTTGTTTTTCGTGTGTGATTATGTATGTAGTACTAGGGACTAAGCCTAGGCCTAATGCATGTTAAGCAAGCACTCTACCACTAAACTACATTCCTAGCTGGGGAGTTGTGTCTAGGCTTTTTGTTTGTTTTTTGGTATTTCAAGCAGATTCTCTGTAGCTCAGACTGCCCTCAAACTGGCAGTATCCTCCTGCCTGAGTCTCCTGAATGCTGGCTGTAATCATTTCGGCAAATAAAAATTTGTATTAAGTATGAAAATGTAGTTCAAAAATTACTTTTCCTAGATCTGGATTTTTGTACAAATTTGGTAGGGAAATCGTGTGCCATAAAACGAAATTTTGATATCATATACAGCTTGATTACAGAAACATTATCTGGCATTATCTCACCTATCACCAATATGTTGCTTTGTATTCACTCCCTTGCATAAAAGCTTCAATTAATTACAATGCTTTATCATCACCCATTAACATCCATGAAGATCATAGAAAAAATGTATTAAATTTATATTTGGAGCATTATAAACATGTACTATACCTTGGTTAACTGAATATTACAATGTAACTTTCTAGGGAAATATATATATGTGTATATACACACACACACACACTTCTAACAAAGCACATAACCTGTAACCAGCCCTTAGAAGACTAAGGCAGGAAAACAGAGTTTAAGGCTATCCTAGAGTTATAAAGTAAAATTCTACCTCCAAAAAAAGAAAAACAAGAGGTTTATAAATGATTTTACAATATAAGAAACTAACCTAATAGTTTTCATTATCAAAATGCCAATTAGCTGATGTTCCAGTTCGTTCTATAAAACCTACTACTGCAGTTCTCTAGCCAGCCAAAGGCTTGGCAACACTGTTTGCTTAACTAGTGAACTGTGTTTATCATCAGACAACCTCATTATGCTAGACACATTTGTTGCAGTTTTAGAACTGTGTTAAACTGTATATTAGATGATCAAATTATTTTTTAAAAAAAAGAGAGTTACACCTGTGAAAATTAAGCTACCTGTTTTGAAAATGACGTTTCCCTTAAAAAACTATACTTTTGGGGGCTAGAGAGAAAGCTCAACAGTTATAAGCACTTGATGTTCTTCCAGAGAGCCCAAATCCAGCAGTGGCTCACAACCATCTGTAACTCTAGCTAAAGATGATCAGATAGCTCTGGCACCTGTACTCACATTCATATACCCACATGAAGACACATACACATAAATAATGACTTTTAAAATTCTTCTTTGGGACTGTATCCTATTGATATAAATGCAAAACACTGGAAGAGGGCATTATTTTAAAAATGAAGAGTACTGTATAAAACATGTATAAACAGTCAGTTTTAGGGCTTCATTCCTTTTTAAATACCAAAAGTAGAATCTTTAAATCTTGTGCTGCTGAGATAATTTTTGCAATAAAGTATTGGAAGTAAAAAAAGAAAAAGAATTCAAAAGTATAATTAGCATAACCAAAAAACTGTGGCTATGAGACAGTGTAGAGTGGTAAGAACACCTGGCATTCTCCATCTCTCAATACCACATTCACACACACACACACACACACACACACACACACACACACACACGCACGCACGCACGCACACAGGGTGGGGAATGGGGGCAGACACATGCAAGCAAAAACCCATACATATAAAATGAAATCTGTAAAAATAAAATAATAGCTGGGCGTTGGTGGCGCACGCCTTTAATCCCAGCACTCGGGAGGCAGAGGCAGGCGGATCTCTGTGAGTTCGAGGCCAGCCTGGTCTACAGAGCGAGTTCCAGGACAGCCTCCAAAGCCACAGAGAAACCCTGTCTCGAAAAACCAAAATAAATAAATAAATAAAATAATATAAATATGGGAAAATAGATTAACCAGTATTCAGAGAGAAGAATTTAAACAATTATTTTACTAACCCAGCTGGGTTCTAGCTTGTATATCTGAACAAAATACCTACGGGGTTCAGTGGTTAAACACACTCATTGCTCTTGCAAGAGACCTGGGTTCTATTCCCAGCACTCACATAGTGGCTCTCAATCATCTGTAACTCTAGTTTCAGAGGATCAGACAACTTCTGGCCTGTAACAGGTATGCACCTGGTACACAGACATACATGAAAGCACAACACCCATACACTGAAAATAAAAATCTTGTTAAAAATTTCTTTAAGTAATGCCTAAGTGAAGAAACATGACTAACCAAATGTAATCTCTTTGGCAATTTATAAAATCAGCAATTGAGAGATTGCTGATAATCTAATAATAATAATTCAAGGCTATCCTCAGTTACATAGGAAGTTTGACTCTAGCCTGGGCAACATGAGACTTTGCCTCAAATAAATAAATAAAAACATCCTAGGCTAGAGAGATAGCTCAGAAGGTAAGAATGCTTTCTCTGTAAGAATGAAGACCTGAGGATCTGAGTTCAAATTCCTAGCACCCACCTAAAAAGCATGCCATTAACCCCAACATTTGGGAGCAGAGATAGGTATCTCTCTGGCTACCCAGCCTGAGTCAAATGGAAAGCTTCCAGCTCAAGGAGAGATCCTGTCTCAAGGCAATACAGCAAAAAAAGTTCTGGCCTTTGCAATGTATGTGCATGCACACACACACACACACACACACACACACACATAAAAGTGTCTCAAGCATCTGTAAGTAGCAGCATATGACTTTCTTCATACATGATAAAGTTGCCCTAATTCCAAAGCTGGAGGCTTTCATTCTATCAGACTAAGCTGAGACTGTAGTTTAGTGGTAAGGTGTTTGCCTAGTACATGCAAGGCCAAGGGTTAGATATTTGTTACTCACTGTTGAAGACAGGATTCTCTAACATTTGTGGTGGTTTGAATGAGAATGGTTTCCGCAGGCTCTAATATTTGAATGCTTGATCTGTTGGTGGTAGAACTATTTGGAAGTATAATGACAGTGGTTCTCAACCTTTCTAATGATTTAACCCTTTAATGCAGTTCCTCACACTGTGGTGACCCCCAACCATAAAATTATTTTCGTTACTACTTCATAACTGTGTGCTAGTGTTGTGAATCATAAATATCTATGCAGAATACCTGATATGCAACTCCTGTGAAAGGGTCACAACCCACAGGTTGAAAACTACTAGATTAGGAGGTGTGGCCTTGTTAAACCAGGTGTGTCACTGGGGATGAGCTTTGAGGTTTCAAAAGCCCACATCATTCCCAGTTAGCCCTTGCTCGCTCTCTCTCTCTTGATCTCCCCCCTCTCTCCCTCCCTCTCTCTCTCTGCATAATGCTTGTGGATCAAATCCAGGCTCTCAGCTACCACTGCAGCACCATGTCTGTCTGCCTGCTGCCATGGTTTCCACCACGATGGTCATGGGCTCTAACCCTCAGGAATCATGAGCCCAATTAAATGTCTTCTTTTATAAACATGTCTTTGTCATGGCAATAAAAAATAAGACATTTCTAAGCAAAATAAAACTGCATTACCAAAGAGAAATAAATTGAGATAATATTTTATTCTTAGCTGCAAGAGGATTTCAAGCTAACTCTACATAGTAAGATCCCGTCTCAACAAAACAAAGATAAATCCCACTAAAATTACCTGAGATTTTCTTCTATTTTCTCTTACAGCATTAGAAAACAAAAACAAAGGAAGCTTTTGGTCTTACACATATCACTCCTTACTATACAGTTATCATGATGGAAAAACACATTTTAAAAACTTCATGTAGAAACCCGGTGTTAGTGGTGCACACCTTTAATCCAAGCACTTGGGAGGCAGAGGCAGGCGGATCTCTGTGAGTTCCAAGCCAGCCTGGTCTACAGAGTAAGTTCGAGGACAGCTAGGACTACATAGAGAAACCCTGTCTTGAAAAATCAAAGAAACAAACCAAAAGCTTCATGTATTTCTTTTCCTTTGTGGGGGGTGGCACAGGTGACTGAAACTATCAAGGGATTCTCCAAAGCTAGGCAAGTGTTATACCACTGAACTAAAGGAAATAATGTAAGTACCTAAAGTGTTCATTTATGCCCATTGTGTTGCAGGTGAGACATTTTTTCTAACATATCTATGGTTAAGCTCCTGCACTGATAATACTGAAATCACATCCAATGTTCATATCTCTTCTCAAAGTTGTCTTTTGGTCAGGGCTGCTGGCACACACCTATAATCCCAGCACTTGGGAAGGTTGAGGCAGGATGACATGTTCAAGGACATCCTGGGGACACATAGTGAGATCCTTCTCAAAACAAACAACAAAAATTGTTTTCATATATGAAACTTATCAGTTCAATAAGGTAAAAAAACACTTAGAAATTTCAGGTATGTCAGGTTTATTTCTCCATCAACCAATGGTTCTAACACTGTTCTAAAAGTTAAAGCCTCTCAATGGCAAGAGCGGCTATTATTAACACTTCTTGTTCTTCCATAGGACCTGAGTTCAGTTCCCAGCACCACCACCAGGCAGCTCACAATCACTGTTAACTCCAGCTCCAAGGGATAACACATACTTTTCTGGCCTCAGAGAGCATACATTATATATAACATATTCTCTCTCTCTCCCCTCTCACACATACACCTTCAAAATTAAAGTTTTTAAAATTATTTTTGAAAGTCTATATAAATAGGACAGGGCATTTGAGAGCATTCTAGTAACTACCTACCTTCAGCCATAACCTGGTTCAGTTTTATGACCCAATATTTACTTGAATGATAATGTGATGGAAAAGAAAATGAGTAATGTTTATATTAGTAAAGATTTGGTCAGGATTCCTATGTATGTTAATACTTCTTGATAATAGGCTATATTCTAAGCAAGACTGTATAAGCACAAAGTTATTTACCTCTGGAGGAAACCAGAATACAGCCTATCCACTATGATGTTGGGAGTGTGTTAATTTTTTTCAGTAGAGGGAAATTTCATTAACTTTTGGGCACAGTGTAAAAGCAAAATGACTAAAAGTTCCTCTGTGTTTATACATTTAAAATTTATTCATATCTTACAAACATACATATAACATCACTGTAACTATAATTTCACACTTCCCAATATGATTCCACATGAAGCACTATCACTTGGGAAAACACTGGTTAACACTGATCTATTTACGGCTTCACCAAAATCGCTCGTGTCATTTCACTATTTAATATAGCAATTACGGTTCACGTGTGAAGGATTAAAACCCCTTTCTAAAGTTTCACTATGGTGCATGTCTACAATCCCAGCACCAGGAGGTGACAGGAGGATCAGAAGTTCAAGGAACTGGGGCTACTTGAGATCCTCTCTCAAAAATAAATTTTTTTCCGGATAATCACATTTATTGGCCAAAACATATTGTCTGAACACAGTGCTCCTTCGAGAAGGAGTCCGAAGTTCAGAGATTCGGAGAACAGGTAGCTGACAAAGGGAAACAAGCTTGTTATCAAAAACTGGGAGAAAGATGGTGTGAGCAGAGTGAAAACACGAACATCAATTATTAATTAATTAATGTGATGTTGGATGAGGGCAGTCGAGTCCGCCCCGACTCACACAGGGCAGAAAAGCAGGAAGTCACCCAAGCCACACCGATGGGGGAGGGGGCTCCAGCTGGACTTTGGGGCCGATGGTGGGCAGACAGCCGCTTCCCCGGGTAGGGTGCTGGCACCGTGAGCGCCTGCCAGGGAAAGCTGGCGGTTGCAGACACCTGTAACAGGCGACAGGGGGGAGAACTGTGCTGGATACGTCTCCCCTGCTCCGCGGGTCTGGGAACTCAGTAGTGGATGGCCCTGAACCAGTCACGAGAGACCCCTGGGGCCCCCAACTGCGCCTCGCTGAGCCGCTCCCCTCCACACACCGGCTCTGCAGTGGGTGGGCCCAGATGGCTCGATCGTGCAGTCCCTGCGCCTCGCTTTTTGAAGACACGAGGTACATTATTTTTCTATCTACAGCGCGTACGCCACGCTGGGGTGAAGGCGCTGCGGCGGTCCCAGGGTTGTGGCGAGCAGGCCCGACGGCCTCTGGGCGCCTTTTTCCTGTCAAGACCGAGGAGCCCGAGCGGTCGCCCGGCTCTCTGAGGGAAGGCTTTCCCGCCGGTACCCACATGAGGCGCGGAAGAGGGCGAGCGCGGACGGCCCGCTGCACGCTCGGGACTTTGGTGAGCTGTCGGTGGCGAGCCGCGAGCGGGCGGGCGGCCGTGCGGGCAGGGCAGGGCACGGCAAGGGCAAGGCAGGGCAGGGCAGGGCAGGGCAGGGCAGGGCAAGCAGGGCAGGGCAGGGCAGGGCAGGGCAGGCCGGGAGGAAGGCCGCGTCCCGAGCAGCCGCCGCCGCCCGCCGCGGGCTGTGATGCGAGGCTGGCGCGCCACTTACCCGCCGCGAAGGGTTTACGTAGCGGACCTCGTCACTGATTACGGACGGGAGGAGGTGGGGACGCAGAGCTCGACGGCCGCCGCCCAGGCAACCCGGCGGCGGCGGCCCCACGTCGCGCCCACGTCAGCTCTGATGCGGTTGTCGCGGCCTCTCCGCCGACGCGAACAGAAAGCAGCGCTAGCAGCCGAGCGAACTGGAGTCTCGAGCCCCGCCCTCCCCTCCCCCACGCCGACCGCCTCTCTCCGGGACGCGGGCCAAGCAGGGGGAAGAAAAAAAAAGTTGCAGACTCGAACTCTGCCCCCTGCTGGCCGTCAGCGGGATTGCAGAGCTGACAATCCAACAATTAAATAGAACGAGCGGGGATCGGGGCGGGGCCTTGGTGGGCGTGGTTAGCACTTGGGGGCGGGGCGTACTGGAATTTCTTGTCTGGAGGGGCGGAAGACCAGAAGGGGGCAAAGGGGTGGGGCAGGAAACCGGAGCCAGCATCCTCTGCGCTTGCGCCTCTCCAACTATTTCCACGGTGGCGAGCGATGCTTCATCCTTTTCTCCCTAAATGTCTTCTGGGATGATTCCAGTCCCTGGCTTCAGTTCCCATGTGTGGTGGTTCGGTCCCTGCCAGAGGCGCATGCGAGGCACTAAGGCCTCCCGGGTACCCCGGCCTCAAGAGCATCCCCCTTGGCGGTGTCCATGGTTATGGAAAACGCCGCTGGACCTGGGGTGTACTCGGAAGCGGTCCCTATTCCTCACCTGCTGCTGCCTCCCGGGAGAAATTGTTTGCGTCAGTGTCTCAAAGAAATAGCTACAGACCTTAGACAGAGGATGTAGCTCAGTTTACAGCACTTGTCTAGGATGCCACGGTCAAGAATCAGCACTGGAGACAGAGGCAGGCAGATCTCTGAGGCCACCCTGGTCTACAGAGTGAGTTCCAGAACAGCCAGAGCTACACTGAGAAACCCTGTCTCGAAACAACAAAACCCAAATCAGTGTTTGATGTTGTTAGGGTTAGGAGGAGGCACAGTAACAAAATCCTGCTGTTTACCAAATTTTGGGCAACCCAAACTACTCCAGTTGTAATACATACAAAAAAGTCAGAATAAAACCTGATCAGTTACAGGGCCGCATTTAGAGGCAGAGGCAGGCAGATCTCTGTGAGTTCAAGGCCAGCCTGGTCTACAGACTGGCTAGTTCTAGGACAAAGAAATCATTGCTCAAAAACAAAAACAATAAATAAGTAAATATAAAAATACCACATTTATGTATTTTGTGGCACATGCATGTGGAGGACAATTTGCAAGTCAGCTCTCTCCCTTCCACCTCGAGGGCCCCAGGGATCGATTTGCATCATAAGGCTTGGAGGCAGGTACCTTTACCTGCTGAGCCATCTCACCAGCCAAGTTTGGAGACTTAAAAATATTTTATTTATATATTATTTATTATACTTGTGTATTATTTATGTATTATATATATGTATAGAACAAAATTTCTATAAAGAAGCTGTGTTTGGCTGTGGACAAAAACAAAAATCAAAAACAAAGCTCCTGCAAAGAGTTTGTCTGCAGAAACTGGTAAACTGGGATTTCAGTATTGTGGAGAGGTTAGAATTTCATATGTCAAAAGCTAATTATCTTGAACTAGTTTGGCCTTCTGGAACAGCCATTCCTTGCCTCACTCTATCTGAACTAACACCTTGTGATAAATAAAAACCTCTTAGAAGCTATTAACGGGACACTGGCTCCCACCGATCAAAGAGCACCTTGGACCTATAAAATAGCTTCCCCCCCCCCATATCAATGTATCTGCTCCCTGGTGTGCCCATCAATGTTCAATGACTTTTATATTTGTCTTGGTTTATGACTTTCTTTGTTGTGTAAAACAAAAATTTAATGAAACTGCTTTTACATTAAAACCTTCCAAAATAAATGATCTCTTAGTCCCTTTAACTTGAGAACAGTGGATTTTACCTTGACCATACATTTATTTGTTTGTTTGTTTGTTTGTTTGTTTTCATATGTATGTGTGTGTGCCTATGGTATGTATGTACCCCATGTACTTGCATGAGCCCTCTGAGATCAGAAGAGGCATCAGATCTCCTGCAACTGGAGTTATATTCAGCTGTGAGCCTCCATGTTGGTGGTATGAGCCCAACTTGAGTTCTCTGTGAGAAGATCAAGCACTACCTCTCTAGTACCTCCTCTTCATTGGGGGGGGCGGTGTTTCGAGTCAGGGTTTCTCTGTAGCTTTTGGAGGCTGTCTTGAAACTAGCTCTTGTAGACCAGGCTGGTCTCGAAATCACAGAGATCCGCCTGCCTCTGCTTCTGGAGTACTGGGATTAAAGGCGTGCGTGTACCACCAATGCCCAGCCTCCTCTTCCTTTCTGACTGCATATCAAAATTAATGAAGAATTTATTGCAAAGACTAGTTTCCAGATCTGGGGCACTACCTTGACCCATGTGTCAGAATTCCCAAGCAAGGACACATAAATCTACTGTTTTTGTTTTTTCTAAAGCAAGGTCTTATGTACCCAGGCTGACCTTAAATTTGCTCTGTAGCCAAGGCTGATGTTGAACCCCTGATCCTCCTGCTCCAGCATTCTAAGTACTAGGACTATATGTGAGCACAGTTATACCTCTTCTAAGATGTGCAGATCAGGCCAGGCCAGCACTCCAGAAGCAGAGGCAGGTGGATCTCTGTGAGTTTGAGACCAGTCTGGTCTACAAGAGCTAGTTCCAGGACAGCCTCCAAAGCCACAGACAAACCCTATCTCGAAAAACAAAAACAACCAAACAAAAGATGTGCAGATCAGTTTTAAACATTGTAAGATAATTCCTCTGTAGCACTGTAGCTAAAACTTAACCACTTGTTGCCTCATAGAAATGCCTTACATTTTCCAACTTTTATAGACTTTATTCTCTCAATTTTCACACTAATTGGATATGTCTCCTTATTAAAATTATCTTTAAGGCAGCAAAACATTACTTCTTTTATTGGTGCTCTTTAGAAATTCTCTTATGTCAAGCTGGATGTGGTGGCTCCCCTCTACAATCCCAGCAAGAAGGAGCTGAGGCAGGAGGATCATATGCTCACAGACAACCTACAAAACACTTATGAGATTGTTTGCAGCCAAAAACCAAAGCACTAAAGTTGTTTGCAGTCACTAAGCTATTTTTTTTAAATAGTGTCATGATTGGAGGTAAAAGGCTTGGGCCTTATGCTTGCTTGCTAGCTGGTTACTCAACCCCTGTGCTACATTACCAAGCTTCAATTTTAAATCATAAATATAGAAGGAAAGTCGACATTCAGATTTCTTCCTATGTGTTTTTACTCGACAACAAATTCGACTGCTTGATGAGTTTTGAGTTTCTCACACAGAATTGCTTTGTAGCTGCTATCAAGAGGACAAAGCTGAAGATTAACTGTAGCAGGTTTTCTTTTGGGCTGTCAACCAGCTCCCAAATCATCACATGGAGACTTATTATTAGTTATGAATGCTTGGCCTTAGCTTATGCGTGTCCCACTAGCTGTTATAACGTAATTAACCTTTTTCTCGTCTATGTTTTGCCTCCGGGATTTTTACCTTTCTTTCTTCTGTGTGTCCTACTTTCCTGCTGTTCTAGGCTGGCAGCTAGCTGCCTAGCTGACTGGCCCCAGGTGTCTCCCTTTCTTTCTCCATTTTCTCTTCTCTCATTTTCTCTAGCCTAGATTCCTCCTCTGCCTGCCAACCCCCTATCCCTCTACTGCCTAACTATTGGCCATTCTGCTTTTTAGACCATGAAATTGCCTTAAGCAGGTAAGGTAAAACAAATGCAGCACTAATTAGACAAATGCAACATAAATAAATGTAACACTTTTGTCTAGTTAAACAAATGCTTTGTTAAAAAATGTAACACATCTCTACATAGTTAAAGTAACATTTCACAACAATAAACTCAGACTGACTTCTGCTGGGAGGTACAGCACTAGGTAGGATTAGAATAGAAATTTTTGTTCTCTGAAAAAAATAATTGGTAGAATGATGTCAATTAAATTAGTATTTCTCTCCCATCCCCCACAGGGTTTCTCTGTGTAGCTTTTTAGATCAGGCTGGCCATGAACTCACATAGATCCACTGCTTCCAAAGTGCTGGGATTAAAGGTGTGCTACACAGCTGCCTGGCTAGTATTTCTTTTTAATTTGTTTATTTGGTTGGTTTGGTTTTTTGAGACAGAATCCTATGTAGCCTAGGCTGGCCTTCATCACTATGTAAATGAGGCTGCCCTGGAACTCCTTGAGATGCTTCTACCCAAAGTTCCCAAATGCTGATTCATGATACATGCTGTCACACCCAAGATGAAATGCTTTTTTAAGTTTTGGTGTTTTTTTTTTTCTATTGTTGTTGTTTTGAATCAGCGTCTTGTGTAACTCATACTGGCCTCACATTCACTATGTGCCTAAGGATGAATTTGAACTTTTGGTCCTCCTACTTCTGCCTCCTCAGTGCTGGGATTACAGGTGTGCACCACCACGACACGCTAGTGCTTTAGTTTTTGTTGACTGGGACTTCAATGGCTGAAAGTTTTACATACGATCCTCCCATTTCAGCTTCACTGTAGCGTGCGTAAGGTCATTGTTACTCATGGTAGTGGTGGTGGTGGCCATGGTACTGGGGATTTAACTCCGAACAACTCAAATGCTAGACAGGGGCTCTACCATTAAGTTGAATCCCCATTCCAAATCTTCTGGAGTCTGTTTTTTGTTTTTTTTAGGATGTATTGTGCTGAATGTGATAATTAAAAAAAAATTATTTTATGTGTATGAGAGTTAGGCCTACATGATACCCCCAGAGGCCAGAAGATGGCATCAGATCCTCTGGAATTGGAGTTACAGGTGGTTGGAAGCAGCCATTTAGAACCCAGACTGTCAGCAAGAGCAAGTGATCCTAATCCCTGAGCTATCTCTGTAACTTTTTGTTTTATCTTGATACTTTTATTAATTGTTTAGAAATTCCCTGTGCTGCCAGGGTGGTGGCCCACGCCTTTAATCCCAGCACTCAGGAGGCAGAGGCAGGCAGATCTCTGTAAGTTTGAGACCAGTCTGGTCTACAAGAGTGAGTTTGAGGACAGCCTCCAAAGCCACAGAGAAACCCTGTCTTGAAAAACCAGAAAAGAAAGAAATTCCCTGTGCCTTGTTTTTGAGGCAGACACTGAATAGCCCAAGCTGTTTGTGAACTAGAGCTCCTGTTGCCTCTGCCTTCCAAGTACTGGAACTAAGAATTCAGACCACCACACTACTTGGTTATAAGAAAGAAAGAAAAAGGCCGGGCATTGGTGGCGCACGCCTTTAATCCCAGCACTCGGGAGGCAGAGGCAGGCGGATCTCTGTGAGTTCGAGACCAGCCTGGTCTACAGAGTGAGTTCTAGGACAGCCTCCAAAGCCACAGAGAAACCCTGTCTCGAAAAAAAAAACCAAAAAAAAAAAAAAAGAAAGAAAGAAAGAAAAATAAAACCAACCATGGGGGAGTTAGGGGTACCTACTGTTCTACCAGAGAACCCAAGTTTGATGTCCCTCTGATGACAACTGGACTGGGCACAATCTATGCGTGAAGAAGAATGTTGTTAATAATCATTTTACTGAACTTTTTTTCTCGGTTGTGTTTGGTTCTATCCTAGGTCCCTGGGCTGTCCAGTCTCTGGTTCCTGGCCATACAGGCTGTGTCAGGCACAGCTCTGGTGGTATGGGCCTCAAGTTCTGTGCCACCATTACCCCAGCACATCTGGAAGACCGGACACATTGTAGGTCAAAGGTTTTGTGGCTGGGTTGGTGCCTCAGTCCCACTGCTGAAAGCCTTGCCTGCTTATAGAAGATGGCTACTTCAGGTTTTGTTCCCCCATTACTAGGAGTCTTTGATGGGGTCACCCTCAAAGATTCCAGGGAGTTTCCACTGCACTATGGTTCCACATCATCCCCCAAAGCCCCTTGTCGTCTCTCCAAATACACCTCACACTCACACCCTACCAACTGCCTGATCCCTCCCCTTCCCATCCCCATCCACCCCCAGTCCATTCAGGAAATCTATTTTAGTTCCCCTTCCCAAGCAGATCCCTGTGCCCCCCACCCCTCTTGAGCCCTCCTTACCAGCTAAACCTATTTTAAGACAAAATAACTAAACTGATAAAAAAGAGGCACACTGAAGGTGAAACAGAGCCCTACTTCCTCCAGGAAGGAAGACATAGGTGGCAATATCCTTTATGTTTCCCTATTAAAAGATGATAGAGCCAGCCGGGCGTTGGTGGCGCATGCCTTTAATCCCAGCACTCGGGAGGCAGAGGCAGGTGGATCTCTGTGAGTTCGAGGCTAGCCTGGTCTACAGAGTGAGTTCCAGGACAGCCTCCAAAGCCACAGAGAAACCTTGTCTCAAAAAAACAAAAAACAAACAAACAAAAAAAAAGATGATAGAGCCAGGTGTTGTGGTGCACACCTTTCATCCTAGAATTTTGGAGTCAGAGACAGATAGTTCAAAGCCAGCCTGCTCTACATAGTAAGTTCCAGGACAGTCAGAGCTACTTAGAGAGACCCTGTCACAACAACAAAGAGCACCATATAATGAACTTTAAATGGTATTGTGCAGATGCTGTGTTGACAATGAAAGTGAGAGCCAGAGAACCTCCACCATTGTCAGAGAAAAGAAACTGGGGCCAGCAAGATAGTAAAGGTGCCTGCCACCTAGCCTGAGGAACTAAATTCCATCTCTGAGCCATACATGGTGGAAGGAGAGAACCAGCTCCCAAAAACAAATGTGTGAGTACCATTGGGAAGCAAACCAATAAGGGGTAGGAGGGAAAAGGGAAGAGGGGGAGGCAAGAGCCAACAAAAGCATCTTTTAATGCTAATTTCAGTGCTGCTGAAGTGGTTCAGTGGGTAAAGGCACTTGCTGCCAAAACCTGGTGACCTGAGTTAGATCCCTGTGATCCATATGGTAGAGGGAGAGAACCAACACCCACAAGTTGTCCTCTGACCAACACACATGCATCTTGGCTTGTGATCACACACATGTGTACTCACACATGCACACACACACAGTAAATAAATGTAAAAAAATTAATTTGTAGTTGGCATACAAAATATACTTCATTAAGACATTTTACACTCGCATATCATTACGCTTTATTCACATTGATTATCCTCACTGCTCTCCTTCATCCCATCCTTACCCATCTCTTTCATCCTCTCATTCTTCTTCATATCATATATCACACGCACACCTAGATCACACATGTGAGAGAAAACGTGGAACTGCTTCTCTTTCTTCCCCTCCATCACTTTCTCTTACTCCCTCTCTTCATTGCACTAACCTCACCCCCACCCCCACATAGACCAGCTTTGACTTTCCTGTCTGTGATGGCTGTCTTGGTTGTCAACTTGACTACATCTGGAATGAACTAAAACCCAAATGACTAAGCATACCCCCCCCCAGGTATTTTTCTTCATTAAATCATTTGAAATGGGAAGACTCACTTTTAATCCAGATCTTTGACGTTGGAAGATAAGCCTTTAATCCGGACCTTCCGAGGGGGAAAGATTCACTTTAATACAGACCACACCTGTTAACAGCCTATATAAAAAGACATAGAAGAAAAAAAAAAGACATTGAAGAAGGAAGCTTGCTCTCTCTTTGCCTGCATGCTCTCAACCTTGCTAGCATATTCATTCCTTCTCTGGCATTAGAGCCTACTGAATTCCAGAGTATACTAAAGACCAGCTGAGACATCCAACCTCATGGACGGAACAACTACTGAATCCTTGGATGTTTAGGTGTTTCATTTATAGCTAGCCATTATTGGATTAGCTGGACCATAGCCTGTAAGCTATTATGATAAATCACACACACACACACACACACACACACACACACACACTTATTGAGTTCTGTTACTCTAGAGAACCCTGACTAGTACACTGTCATATATGTATGTATGTATATTTATATATTAATTGTTTTAAATGAAACTGTTGGATGGCTATCTTCTCATGGTTGAAACATTTCTTCCTGAGGGAAAAGAGAGGATGGAGGCTATTGAGATTGAGACACTCATAAATCTTATAAGACACATGAAGCTCATCAAATTATGAGACTCATGGACCCTCTCCTCAAGGTTATAAAAATGGTAAACAATTTCAGGATGCTGGGGTGGGCTTCTCAATGATGCAACTGTCTTTGAGTCACCCATGCTCCTGTAAGTAACCCCTCACATGTAGTCTTGAAAATAACCCAAATAAACTCATTGGTTCACCAAGCTAAAACCGGGTGAAATGGTTTCTTTGGTCTGCCATCAGTGCCCTATCTGAGGTGAAGAGATGTTTAATCATCTCCAGGAAAAGTCATGCAACATAATTGGTACCCAAACCAAGACTGACAGAAGCAAAGATAGCTGAGGAGACACGTTTTCATGGCCCCATACAGTAAATGATAAGACATGCTGCAGAAGCTGATCTATTTGAGAGTAGAACATTCATGAGGCAATCACAATATGACTGCTTTCCCCCATGTCACAGGGGATGGTTAGTCTTTTCTTTCCTATAGCCATGGTGGTTGGTAAAGCATTGCCAGGTCCAGCCGATGAGTTCAAACATACCTGAAAGAAGATGTGAGAATTGAAAAGAGACAAGAGACAGAAGGGCACTCTGTGAATACTGCAGACACCCCAAGTTTATTACTCATATCCCTATTCCCCTGTCAAAAGGGTAGAGCAAAAAACTTCTTTTTTTTTTTTTTTGGTTTTTCGAGACAGGGTTTCTCTGTGGCTTTGGAGGCGCAAAAGACTTCTTTACCATGATACAAGGAGCAAATAAGCGTACTTACCTCCTTAATACTCAAAACATCTGGTCACCACACCCTAATCAAACATCTTATAATTTGGTCTTAAGGGTCAAGACATCCAGTAGCTACACCTGAGGCCAAACATCCTGCTGTTTATCCTTGAAGAGCAAGAATAGGTTTGAACTCTCCAACCTTAAGTCAAGATGGAAGTCAGTCAATACCAATGACCCCTGACAAAGCTTACACCGTAAGCCAACCTGTCTGAGTATAGAGAGTCCTTTGGGAGAATCCCATTGCAGCTGCCCTTCTCTACATGGTATGGAGTGGCATGCCTCCTCAATGAACATGTATGCCCCCAAGTCATCTAAGAGAGTAGGGAGTATATTGTGAACCCTGATAACACATCTAGAACATAACTGTAAGGAGGCTATGGTGTGAGTCATGTTGTTTTTGCTGTGGGTGGTAAGATAAGCAGCTGAGGTTCAGCTATTTTCCCAGAGACAACTTTCCCCTGTAAGGAAAAAATTGCAATGAAAAATAAAACATGCAAATGCTATCCTCTACACTAAGTTTAGATTTGGTAGGGAAAAATTTTTTTAAAAAAACCACAGAATGAGATGAAGATGTTAGCATGCTGTTTTTTTACAGCAGATAGGATGCAAGACTCAAAAGCATAAATTTGATCTGTGAGCCCCTCTTGGGGTCCAAAAACTTGGAACCCCTGGAAGAATAAAGTGAGGTAAAAGTACACTCCTCAGGTCAGACCTTTAACACCACACACAGCTTAGGAAAGTGTGGTAATTAAGGTTACTCTGGATCAAAAGCTGTGTGAATTCAGTGGTGATTTTAAACTGTTTTCCCCTTCTATGATATAAAAGTTCAGAGCTTACCCTTTAATAAAGTTCTGATAAGCTGATAGAGCAGTGACTACCTGCTGTTCAGTCACAAGCTCAATAATTTCAATTTATTTTGGTTGTCATCTAAGTATAAATCTAAAGGGCTTCTCATCAGGCCAAAGGTATCTCTGTCCAATCCATACCTGGCCCTCTCTGGACAGAAGAAAAATGTACAAACCCGTAGGTTCTGTTGAGACTTAAAGGTATAAGTCTATTACAGATATCCAATATCTGTTTTTTCTGCAATGTGGATTTAAATACAGATTGATAATGCTAATATATCTAAAACTTTTATGCCCTCTTGTACAATAAAGTTCATATAGGCTTCAGAGGACCAAAAAGCCATAAAGCTTGGACCCACTTCTCACAGGTCAAAAGGACTCCAGATAAGTTTCCCACCTGTCTGTTCCTGAGGATGGGATTTTCTCTCCTGGTCTTGGGACTCCTGCTCTTCCTGATCACTAAAACTATGGGTCTAAGAGTTCTGACTGAGCACATAAATTTTAACTTCTGTTCCTAGTTTAAACATGTCTCAACAGGTTTACACTTCTGGCAGACACATCCAAGCATCAGTTGCTGACTACAGCCTGCTCCAAAAGACTGTGAACCCTGGACTTGCTGCTATGGACCAGTCCAGCCAATGTGAACACTCCCCATATCTTCAACAGAGTCTTGGAGCCAGCTGCTTCTGATAAAGACCCCCTTGTCTAAATCCCCTTTTTGCTTTTGACTAGCATTTCAGCCTGCTTGGACCCCTGACAACAACACCCCAAAAGTCAGCAGGAGGTAGCACAGGAACGAATACGTTGTCCCTTTTCCCTGGTTGAAATGCTAAGTCAAAAGAAAACTCCCTTGCATAGGGGACAAGAGGACAGTAGAACTTGTACCCCAAATTTCCCCAGAGTCTTTTAAATTGTCCACTAGTAACCCAAGAGTGGGTTGCCTATAAGAAAAGGGGGGATGTAAGAGCAAGGTAAACTGGAGAGGATGGAGTTAGCGCCATCCTCAGAAAAAGTCACCGTGGTTCACCACTCTGTTGTCCACCCGGATGCGTCCCTTGCTTATTCTACTCCTTTGGACCTTGCATTCTTAATCACTTAGTTACTTTTGTAAGAAAAAGAGTGAGTGCAGTTCAAGTTTTGATGCTTAGACAACAGTATGATTCTTTAGTTAGAACTGAGTGTTAGACATAAATTTCAGGATTGAAATTAGTAACTAGAAGGAGAGGGGAATGAAGAGCCCCAAAAGTTATCCCCTCAACAGTTGAAAAATTACTAAGCTGTCCCATCCTTGGACATGAGCAGCTGCACTTAAAGATAGACATCCTCCCCTGGTGGTCATCAAGGACTTGAAAATATTTCCCAGACCTCAGTCCTCAAGGACTTGGGAACATTCCCCAGACCTCAAGGTTCCAGGCTGGTCACAAAGTTCAGCCAGGGCACAGACATTGCCTGAGACAGACAACGAGCCAGTCAGCCAGACAGCCACAGCATTAAGTGATTCATGAAGGTCTGGCACCAACTTCCAAACTCCCCTTGTATCCCCACCACCCTGATTGCAGTTTTAGGTTTTAAAAACTCGTTGTAATTTATGCTTGGGGTTCACTCCTTCCCCAGTGCGCCGGCTTAATAAAAATCCTCTTGCATTTTGCAACGAGCTTTGGCTCCCTGGTGGTCTTTGGGGCGAGGGTCACAAGAGAAAGACTGAAGGGTCTTTCAGTATAGGACTGAGGACATAGCTCATCTGGTAGAATGCTTGCTTGGCATGTGGGAAAATCTGAGTTCAGTCCCCGGCATTATATAAATTGGCATGGTGCCGATGTAATTTCAGGGTTCAGTGGGTGTGGTGGTTTGAAAAAGACTGGCCCCATAGGCTCAAATATTTGAATTCTTAGGCACCAGGTAGTGGAAGGAAATCATTGATAGGTTTAGGAGGATTCAGAGGTGTGACCTTGTTGGAGGAAGTGTGTCACTGAGGATGGGCTTTGAGGTTTCAAAAACCCATGTCATGCTCGGTCTTTCTCTCTTCCTGCTGACTGTGGATCATGATGTAGCACTCTCAGCGCCTTCTCCAGCACCATGTCTGCCTGCCTGTGTGCTGCCATGCTCCCCATCATGTTGATAATGGAGTAAGCTCTGAAATTGTAAGTAAACCCCAATTAAATGTTTTCTAGGAGTTGCCCTGGTCATAGTGTCTCATCACAGCAATAGAACACTGACTAAATGAGTAAAGGCAGGGAGATCAGAAACTCAAGTCATCTTTGATATACACCAGTAATTCCTCCACCTGGGAGATCCAGGAAAGAGAATTAGGAGCTCAAGGCCAGTCAAACCTACATAATGATTTTAAGGCCTGCTTGGGATGTATTAGTTGCTTTCTCATGAAATAAAACAAGACAAACCTGGAGGAAAGAGTAGATGACTCAGGTAAAAATACTTGCTACAAAGCTTGAAGACATGAGTTCAATCCCCAGGTCCACATGAGAGAACTTACTCCTACAAGAGGTCTTCCGCCCTCCATACATGTGCTGTGACATATACACACATGTCCATATGCACACTAACACACACACAAATAAATAAACATAATTTTTTTTTTTGGTTTTTCGAGACAGGGTTTCTCTGTGGCATTAGAGGCTGTCCTGGAACTCGCTTGGTAGTCCAGGCTGGTCTCGAACTCACAGAGATCCGCCTGCCTCTGCCTCCCGAGTGCTGGGATTAAAGGCGTGCGCCACCAACGCCCGGCTAATAAACATAATTTTTAAAGTATATGATATAGTGGTAGCCCTTGAGTATGTTACAGATTTTGAAACATCATACAGAAAAATAGTGAAAGAAAAAAGCACACCCAGGATCCATGAAGGTGTTTGGAGAAAATCCAAATACCGGATCCAAATACTCTCTCCATAAGTCATTGGACAGAACACCATTAAGGCTGAAAAACCATTGAATTATTGCCATTCCTGTTGGTCACATGTTTAACTAGACGGTAAGACCCTGTCACTGAAGATATCATGTGCTCTGGCTACAGGCCAGGGAACATTCAGACTGGGACTAAGCTGAAGATCCTCCCTTACTCCTGGCTTTTGTGGTACCTAAAGGTGCCATATAAGCTGTTGGACGAGAAACAGTCCTGCTCTGCTATGGACCGTTCATGTGATATTACATACATACTACTAGGCAAAATGTAGCTACTGATGCAATCAGTGTTGGTACAACTGTTGTTGGTGCAACACACTGCTTTCCAGTTGTATTTAAAGCCTATTCTACAGGTGGGAACTCTTGTCTGGTACTGAAGCCAAGCAAAAGGCTGGGAGTTCATTGGTACCAGTGGCAAAGCAACTGTTGTTTGTTTTGCTAAATGAAAGTGGTGTGCTTTCCAACTATCTGTGTTAATATCATTGGATATCGCTGCTATCAGCCTCAGTCATGGAAGGAAGACTTTTGCAGTGAGTGGTAGATACTACAGGGACTCTCTACTGCTCAATCTGTTGAAAATAAGCAAGTGTTGTGCTGGCACAGTGCTCAATGCTCAGCCATATGAAAGAAAAGAATCAAATATCTGGGTTACTCTCTCCAAGGCTCAGGACCCTGCATTATCCTGCTTTGGGGGACTTTTGTCAGAAAGTGACAAGGCTCACAAGTCCCTTTCCCAAGGTCATATAAGCAGTAAACAATTGTTGGGAAAGAGGTTTTTTTTTTTATGGAACTTGCCTGCAAGTTGGACAGGAAACTCCAGGGAAACAAATTTTAGTGAATTATCACCATACTACTACAGCTGCCTTTAAGTAATCCATAAACTCATTGGTTCACTGAGCTAGATATGAGCAGAATCATTCATTTAATCTGCTGCTCATGCCCTGTCTAAGGTTACTAGACTTTTGTTCAGAAAAGTCTAACAACAAGAAAGAAAATCTGCGTTATTTGTCATTTTGAGTATGGCTAGTTTTATTTAACAAGATGATCTCCAGCTCCATTCATTTCCCTGCATGTATTGGTTAGGGTAACTATCACTATGAAACACCATGACCAAAAGCAGTTTGGGAAGGAAAGGGTTTATTTGGCTTACATGGCTTGCTCAACCTGCTTTCTTCTAGTACCCAGGACCACCAGCTTTGGGTTGTCACCACCTATAATGGGCTGAGACCTCCCACATCAATCACTAATAATGAAAGTGCCCTATAGGCTTTTCAGTCTTATGGAAGCATTTTCTCAGTTAAGGTTTCCTTTTAGATGACTTTAGTTTGTGTCAAGTTGACATAAAACTAGCCAGCACACTATAAATAACACCATTTTGTTCTTCTTTACAGCTAAATAAAACTCCACTGTGTATATATTTACCACATTTTCTTATCCACTCATCTGCTAATGCGTGTCTGGGCTGGTTACATGTCTAGGCTATTCTGGAACATTGTGCAGTAAATATGGATACTGCAAATATTCTTGGAAACATTCAGACCACGCTGATTACGGATTGGCCAGCTTAGACCCCTTCCTTCTCTCTGGATCCACAGTAGCAGGGACTGGACATCCAAATGTTCAAATGATGACTGAAGGAGGAAAAACAGGTGGATGTTTGAGACAGATCACCATTCTAGAAGCACTTAAAATAAATTATACCTTTTCCACATCTCTCTACTGCACCAGGGAAGCACAGTCCAACACTTCTATAGTATGGCCATGTCAGAGGATGGTTCCAAGGAATAAGCATGTGCATGGGAGAAAGTTTATAAAACATTTGGGAAGTTAGAAAATGGTTAAAACAAGACATACAACTACTCTCATCAAAGAAAGTCAAACTCATAGACTAGAGTTGGTATGAATATAAACTAAGATTAATCAAAAGCTTCAGGAAAAAAGAAGAGTTTTAGAAAATTCAAACAGAAACAGCATTTATGAACAGGATGTGGAATATGAAAGATAATCCCACATTTAATGAAATAACTCACCAGGCAGTGGTGGCACTCAAGAGGCAGAGGCAGGCAGATCTCTGAGTTCAAGGACAGCCTAGTCTACACAATGAATTCCAGGACAGCCAGGGCTACACAGAGAAACCCTGTCTCAATAAATAAATAAATGGGAAATTTTAAAATAATAAAATAGCTCAAGGAGAGCAATGGGATAGCTAGCTAAGGCTATACATGATGGAACAGTCTGGGCACAGTTCTTCATTGAGCTACCCATCAGACCTGGACCCAAGATATGACATATGAGAGTCACACCTGTTGCCAGGAGGTAGTGGCACACACCTTTAATCCCAACACTCAAGAGGCAGAGGCAAGCAGATCTCTGTAAGTTTGAGGCCAGCCTGATCTACTTAGCAAGTTCCAGGACAGCCAAAACTATACAAAAAAAAACTGTCTCAGAAAGAGGGGAGAGGAGAGGGGAAGAGAGAGGGAGATGAAGACGGAGAGGGAGGAGAGGGAAAGGGATAAAGATGTCACAGAACAGTAGATCAGGGTGGGATGTGTGTGACCCAAAGCAGTAAGTGCAGGTAGACAATTTCACAAGACAACCTGCCAGGAGGCTGAGACAGACCTCTAGGCCTACGGCTGAAATGAGAAGGAGCTCAGAGGAGGTCAAGGTGTCCTTGGCACTGAAATACCTTCAGGAATTAGACCGTCAGTTGTTGAGAACCTAAAGAGAGAGTCCAAGCTGAGTTGGGAGCCAGAAATTCCATACGCAAGCCACTGAGAATAAGATTGGCCATGGAGCCTGGCGTGGAGGCTCACACCTGCAGTCACAGCACTCAGGAGACGGAGGCTGGATGATTTCCACAAGTGTGAGATCATCCTGAATGCACCGTGAGATCTAGGCCAGCCTGGACTGCAGAGTGAGACCTTGTATGCAAAGGGAACCCTGAGCCAGGTGCACGACTTTAATACCAGCACATGGGAGGTGAACACAGGCCGGTCTCTGAGTTCCAGACTCAGATCAGCCAGGGCTGTATAGTGAGAGCCTGTCGTACAAATTAAATGTGAGTTGGGTGGGCAGGGAAGACTATATGAATCCTGGGCCAATGAGAGAGCTCCTGCCACTCAGCCTGAGTTTTACAAATTAATAAAATATGTAATAGGGCTATGGGATGGCTCAGTGGGTAAGGGCATTTGCTGTACCGAATTTGGTCCCCAGAACCCACATAAATGTGAAAGGAGAAAACAAACTCTTTTATGAAGTTGTCTTCTATCCTCCAAGTTAGTAGACAGTGAACATCTCTCTCCTTTTACACACACACACACACACACACACACAGGGGCTGGAAAGAAACAGCATTTGCTGCTCTTGAGAAGGATCCTAGTTCGGTTAGTCGAACCCTCCTTCATGCGGCTCACCACCACCTGTAACTCAGTTCAGAACTCCTAGCACCCCCTTCTGGCCTCCTCAAGTATCTGCATAAACGTGCACATGCCAACATAGAAATAATCTTTTGTAAAATGCATAATAATACAATTAAAATATTTTTGAGCCAAGGTCTCATTATGTAGCTCTGGCTGTCCTGGAACTCACTTATGTAGACCAGGTTGGCCTCCAACCATAGAAATCTTCCTGCCTCTGCCTCCTGAGTTCTAGGATTAAAGGTGTGCACCACTACATCTGACCTATTGGAAATTTACATGGAAAATTACAGTGGAGAATTCTAGTGATACTTTCTATTAT